CCTGGGGCCGAGGGAAGGAAGAAGCAACTGTCACGCCTGGGGCCGAGGGAAGGAAGAAGCAACTGTCACACCTAGGGCCGAGGGAAGGAAGAAGGAAGTTGAGGTTATTAGGGCCGAGGGAAGGAAGAAGGAAGTTGGGGTTATTAGGAGCTAGAAGCTTGGAAGAGGGTCCATGGAGCTGGGACTCAGACTCTGAGATTGGACTCTGGCTAGCTGGTACTAACAGCTGTAAGGGGGCAAGTTGAAGCTGGTTGTGGGAGGCAATGGGAGGCTTGAGACTGGGATCAACTGCCAATTCCAGAGTGAAGGGCTGTTGTTGGGGTGACACAGACAGAAACAGCAAGGAACAGAAATTCCTTTCTCACCTCCCCTGGCCTTCTGGTGTCCCTCTAGTGCTCCTGTTGAAGAGCCTGGCAAAGGAGATATGTAATTTGCAAAGTCTCAGTCCCAGCATTACTAAGCGTAGGTTTGGAGCTGAAAGACCATAGCTTAATTGGCACAATAATCAACTCAGTTCTTTAAATTAATAAATTGTAAGAAAATATAGAGTGATGGAGGAGAAACCTGTTAATTAAAAGACCTATCAATCCATTGTAATGTGTGGATCATATTTGGATCCTAAACTAAACAACTATAACAAATATTATGAGATATTTGTATTGAATGTTAGATGATATTAAGGAATTATTGTTAATTTTCTTAGAGGTAAGAATGGCATTATGGTTATTCTTTAAAAAGTTATTAGCTTTTAGAAATCCATTCTGAAATATTTACAGATAAAATAATGTGATATCTGGAATTTGCCTCAAAATAGGCCTGGAGGAGGAGAAGTGCAGGCAGGATTGAAGGGACAAGATTGACCACATACTGATGGTTGTTAGGGTGGGCGATGGGTAGTATATGAGGTTAATTTTACTCTTCTTTCTACTTCTACTTTGTGTAAGTTCAGAATTTTCCATAATAAAATTTTTTTTTAATGGAAGGCATTCTATTGTTAAACCTTTTTTTAACCTCTTAGATTGGCAGCAAGCTTTTGCTTGTGCTTGATCATAAACTGTTGGTGAGAAAACTAGTTCTAGTGTACATTGTTGCATTTTGACAATGTCTTTAAGAATTAAAATGCACACACTTTTGATGCCATAATTCCAGTTTCAGTTGTGACGTGTACATGTATGTAAAGATATTTGTACATGGATTTTCATTGCAGCTATAGCAAAGGTTTGGAAACAACCTAAATATCTATAAATAGGGAAGGGACTAGTTTAATGGATTATGGTGCAATCATGCTGTGGAGTACATCCAGTTATTAAAGAATGAAGCAGTTCTGTAAGTACTGCTACGGAGTGGTTTCCAAATAAGAAAGCAAGATACAGACCAGTAATTACAGTTTATCATAATATGCTATCATTTGTGTACCATCCAAAAAGGATATTATACTTGAATATGTCTAGATTATCTTTGGAAAGTTGCCTCAGGGACAGGGAACCAAATGAATCAGGGTTCAGGGGGGTTCAGGAGTGGGAGGAAGACTTTCTTTTTCACTGAAAGTACAGTAAAAAATACTATGTATTTTATCTTCTTGGGGGCTATTGTAAATGATATTGATTTGGTGATTCCTTCATCGAGGTTCTCTTTGTTGGTGTAAAGGAATCCAACCGATTTTTGTATGTTTATCTTGTATCCTGAAACTTTGCTGAAATCTTCTTTTAGTTCCAGTAGTTTTCTTGTGGATTCTTTGGGGTTTTCTGTGTAT